ACTGCATCTCCATCCGTTGTTGATCAAACAGTGTGTTCTAAATGACTCAGTGTGGAAGAGAAAACGTTTGTCATGATCAACAACTGATGACTGGCCCGGTGTCGTCCGACAGACGATTTTTAAATTTTCACTGATCTTTTTTGCATGTTAAGTTTATTTCAGAAAGTACGTTGTATATAGGCCTTTTTCCGTATAAGGGATCTCTAGGATACCAAGAATATTGAATTCTGTTTTTATGAGTTGTTGATGAAAGACTTTGTCTTTTGAAAGAGAATAACAAATAAGATGACAACATGTTTGCTAGATTTTAATAGCAGATGATATGTTTTTAATAGTTTTGAAAGTACTATCTAGCAGCTTCATTGAAAATGCTCTCAATCTTGTTAACCTTGCTCTTATTCTTGTTCAGCTTGTACTCGAACTTGTACTTTTTTTTTAGTTGATGATTTTATTAAAAGCTTAGTTAAGTAGTACTGTACAAATTACCTATGGTAGGAAATAATTTTACGAGCAACGTAGTTTTTTTGGGAGTATAATCCTTTTTTCAGTGTAATGGAATAGTTGAGAATATTATGGGCTCCTGATGTAGACGTAATCCCATAATCTAATTGATAAAATCGGAAGTTGTTGTTTTAAAATTAACTAAAAAAAACCTTTTACATATACATTTTATATTTTCAGTATGGTAACCAATGTTATTTTAGTACCTTGTACGTAAAACATTTCTTTATACTTGGGAGTAGTTTAGATGGTATTAATTGTGGTGTAATGTTTATAGCTTCCCTTGAATGTGAAGGACCACACTAAACCGGAAAGTCACGTGTTTTAACCAAGGACTGTGAATTTTTACAAGGACTTTGGTTAAATGTACTGAACAATCACAAAAAGTAATTTTTTTAAACTTTTTTAGTTCCTAGCCTTAAGCAAAAGACGATAATCTCTTGCTTTAAATGAATCTGTCAATAGAAAAGGAAACGTGGCCTAGAACACGCACATCCACTTGCATCTGGGAAATAAAGGTTTTTTTTTTCTTTTCGGTTTAGATTTCGTCCAGAATAAATAGAAGTAAAAAGCGCGAGAGGAGGGGGTTACTTGTTTCAATTTTTGCTTGGTATGTGCCGCTGGCCTCTCTGAACCCTTTCCATTATATTCAATTCTCTGACCAATAATAGATCCCCATCTTATTCACTGAGGCAAAGGTAATTTTCGCGATCCTAACTTAATCAACTTAGTGACTTTCGGTAACAATATTCTAACCGCATGTCTTCCCATTTTTCGTTTCCTAATATTTTTTCTCACGCCTAAAATCCCGAAAATGTGCGACCCCATTCTAGTGACTCTGTTGAAAATGCAACCCCCTTATAGTCATTCCAGTCGTGAAAATTGCGACTCCATCCAGCGGATATCACCATTTGAAAATACAAGGACCCCCCCCC